CGAAAAAATATTCTTGAGCACGGAACCAAGCCGGTAAACGATCATAGTCCCTAAGCACATTGAACAATACACTGGTGAACCAGCTTGCCGAAAATGCTACGACCATTCCGATTAGCATTCGGTTGGTTCTTTGCCGACGTTTCACAGCTGCTCGTTGCTGCAAAATTTCTATCAAAAAATATTATCCCAAAGTTCTTTGGCAATATGAGGTACGCCGTACAAATCCTAGAAATGATGACTTTTTCGGAAAGCCAGAAAGTTTTTCGATGGTACAAAATACTAAAAGCATAAATTTAGGAAAAATTAAAGATTCAGAGCGATCAACCTGGTCAGTCATGTCGAGCTGCCAATCGCGCTGTTGTCGTCTGCTTTTCAATAACAAACCCTGAAAGCATAAAAATTTCACAGGAACAATCGCTATCTTACAGTATGGTCCCTCACAACTGATAAGTGTCAGAAAGTGTAGCAATACTACCGGCAAAGTACAGCGACATGAGAAAAGAGGAAAGGAATAGTCGAATATGTTTGTTTAATATTTTGTAAAGAAGCCAAATTTTACAATCTCATTTAAGCTAACCGGTATTTGCATTGTGTCTCTCTCTTCCTTTTTTTCTTTTTTTTCCCTTTTCTTCCTTTCTTCTCTCGTTTTTCTTTGATAACTTTTCCAGTTACTTCAACCAATGCTGCATCGCCTTTGTTCAGCCTGTTAGTATCGTTGTTGTTCCTTTTTTTTTCTCCTAAGAGTCTTGCCAGCTCAACGCTTCTCCCGACAAAAGCATTTTTCAATGTTTTGATCGTTTCTCACTAGTTTGTTTCGAACGTTGCAAATGCTCGACTCCCTATTTTCTGAGGACAAAAATTTCTCTTTCTACCATTTAAAAAAAAAAGAAAACATTATCGAGCACTTCCAAATACCAGTGGCATGGAAGTTACGTTTTGTTTGAGGATGAGTGAAGAGTTTACTTTGCCTAATTTGAATGAAATGGCGGTGTAGCAGAACGTGATGATTATGAGCGGTACGAGGAACTGTACGCTTAACATTATCGAACCGTACACTCGTCGTCCATTATGATCGTTGCCCCAGTCTTCAGTGCAAAATTTTCCGCAATAATTACCGAATGATTTCAGCCGCTGTTTGAGTATTATTGGTGCTGATAATGACGTTGATAATACACAATTCACCTGCAAAATTCCTTATTTCCACGTGATTTTACAAGCATTTTCAGATTTTTACTCATTGCGTCCTATTCTTATCAAAGTTCAGGGAACGTGAGGTTTCATATACTTATCATACTCACGCAAAAACACACACACAAAGACGGAAACATGCAAACATATACACATATTCGCAAAAAACCTAGGACAGATACAAACACTCGAACACATACACATACATATAAACACACACACACACACGGACTTGCGCGCATACATTCCATAGACACAAGCAAACACACATGTGCTTGATGCACAAACAAAGACACACAGACATACACACGTACACAAATAACACACAGACGCAAACACGTGTACACAAACACATAATCGTGTTTTCGGTTGACGCACAAACGCTCAAGAACAACAAATTTTTATTTCGTCAAGTAGCATTAATTATTCAATATGTTTTTGCTTGTCATATACAAGTCATTGCTTTTCTTTAACAAACACATGAAAACAAAAAACCCGGGAAGAGTAAGTGAAAGGCTAAGAAAACAAGACATTTTCTGGGGAGAAATGGGAAAAACTTGATTACAGTTAGTAAATATGGAGAAGATTCTGATTTCAAAAACTCAATATACAAAACTTCAATAA